AGAGAGAAGAGGGAGAGGGTCAGGAGGAGTCCTCGCAAATTGTTCATAAACGAAATGGCCGGAAGCAGCGGCGATGACGAAGCGACCGGAAATTGCATGGAACGGGAATGTCGTCGTTATCTCGCCGAATGAACGCGAGCGAGGCGACTCTCTTTTTCTCTCTCATTCTCCCTCGCCTCGGATAAATCGACTCGAGAGGAAAGTGATCCTTGGCTGCTGCTGCTGGCGCGATTACGTAAAGTGGTGCGTAGTCGCGGATTATGCGCGAGCACCACTATTCCGTAATCCGCCATCGACACGAGTAAGAGGAGCATTAATTTCTCCTTCTTTGATGGTTTTTCCTGATCGACGTAACTCTTTGATCGGTACTATACAGCTTTCCCGTTAATAACAGTAGTAGTTTAATAATTGGAGTCATTTTATATAAATTATAAATCACGGAATTGAACAAGTTATGATTATAGCGCATACTCGTAACGTAAGAACTATATTAGGCCGTTTGTCGTGTCACCGATTATTTAATTAAGCGTTGAATCAATTAATCCTTTTTAGAATATAAAAAAAGCATAAAAAGCGATATTTAGCTCAGTGACGGCAGATGTCATCCATTATTCGACTAAATACTGACGATTCGAATGGATAACCGAACGAAATTCCTTCTGCCGAGTTAGTGGTACAGATCAATATATGATCGGACATTGATCTGTCCTCGCCTTAAAAAAGCTATAAAAAGCAATACTTCTACGTATAAAAAAATCAGCATGTAAAAATTCAAAATACGGATACCTCGATATACATAATACTTGCAAACAGGTAAGTTAAAAATCTCTTTTTTAATTGTAATTCAACGCTTGAAAAATCTAAATCAAACGCTCGAAATAGCTCTATTATCTCTCGATATACTCGAAGCATTCCTCAATAACGCTCGTCAACAAGCTACTGAATACTCGAGTACTATCCGGCTTCGATTCGAACTAATTCCGAAGCAGCGGAATATTACAACTCGGAGTGCACAACAGGCTCACCTTCCTCTAGCTACGAGTTATCGTTGTGATAAAATATGCACGTCATGCGCAGCAAAGAGATTGCCGTTACATGCATGTGAAATTGTCGAAGCGGGAAGAGATGGGAAAGAGAAAGATTGAAGGATATTGAATAGAATACGAAGCGTATACATCCAAGCACGCGAATTTAATTGTCGTGAGAGAGAGAAGGAGAGAAGAAAGGAAAGCGGAATGGAAAAGTCAATTTGATACTCAGAAAGTTAAAGAGGGATTCGGGAAGAGCCGGGAGAATAAAATTATTCGAAAGAGAAGATCGGCGAAGGATAAGTGCGGAGTCGATAGTAGAACGACGTGGACATGTGCTCCATGCAAAATTATTTCCCAGCTCAGACATAATCACGTGGTCCCTGCTTTGACTGGTCAATGTATATGTGTGTGAAGCATGTATAAGTATAGTTTGGGTCGGTTGTGTATTCGCGGTCGTTCTAACACCTCTCTATGTCTCTTCTTTTTTTTTTTTTTTTTTTTTCCGTATCGGGGAGACGCGGAGGGTAATCTGTGTATATGCATATATAAATCCCGAAGTTACACCACGTTGTCTTTTCTGTCGTTTTCCCTATTTCCCCATCTTTTTCATGTCGTTTGACTCTTTCCACATTTTTCCCCCTTTTCCTTCTTATTGTTTCACTTCCGCACTCGTCGTCATATACCTATGTATGTATATATGTATATATAAATATATAGCGAAAGCTCTCGGTTTGATACTCGAAGAAAAAGCCCGTGAAAGCAAAGTAACACCGGCAAGCGACATCAGCCCATTATAGCGCCTTCCTCTACGTAGGAAGGTTAAATGTATATGTCGACACCATTATATAAAATTCAACATAGCTATAGCCAATTAGTGTGCTAAGATTGCGCTCGTGACGTGGTTGCAAAATCTTGCTTATTTCGACTGTATTCATCAACAGGTCGTCCCAGCACTCCGAAGGAAGATTCCCAATTAATTTGCTTCACCGCGCAATTAGATAAATGGTCATTCAAAAAGAATGAAAAAAAAACGTTCGAATTGCGTCGATGAAAAGTCAGGTTGACACCAGGCGGCCTAGTTGCGAAACGCAGACAGGTATTGCGCGAAAAATCAAAATTTTATTGTCACGAATAAAACGTGCGCGAACGAATTTCCGTCGGAAACAGTAAATGTTTATGCCCGCCTCGTAAAACGTTGCCGTTTCTGCGGCGAAGTGCCACGCCCGTCCATTAACTGCGCTTTAGTTGTTACTGCGAGTTGAATAAATAAATTTGTTTATCGGAACAAAACTATTATCAAATTTTTATACTTGAGCATAGAGTACGACAGCGTAATTCCTCGTTTATTCCGCTATTATTCCGCTTTTTTTTTTTTGCAATTACGATCAAACAGTTTCTGTCACCACGTCGAGATAGGAAGACGTCCAAATTCGATTTAATAAAACAATAAATCCGAACAATAAAGTGATAGGCAACGTGTGTATGCGAATAATTATGGAATGATTAGGGCAAAGCCACTACGAAGTTAAAATGGACGAAACTTAATGGCGAATGTAATTTATATGTAAGCCTCTGCGTTGGACTTTATCCGCTGGCGCGATTTTAATGGCGGATAAAATGCTGCGAGCGGCAAAGCGGCAGCGTTATCTACGGGGGAAAATGTACTTTTGTCCGAAACAGCTTCAAAGATTTAAGGAGTCGCATAATAATACTTCGGCCGAGTGATCGATTTCGGCGGCAGACACCTGCGCGCCGTCATCTCGCGCGCGAACGACGACGTCCTCGTTATTAAAGGCAACCATCGATCGGAAAATCGTTCCCGTCCCGTGAACGTTTTATGAGAGCTGCTAATAATACTCCGGTCGGCCGGCACGATCAACGGCGATTCGAAAGACATTGATCCCTTATTAAGATTCCATTATTATCGAGCTTGCCTTTCGGTCGGTGACAAAGTTCAATGAACCAACGCGCGAACACTGTACGGTCAATTTATTGCATGCAATATGACGACGACGAAACACGGGGAAGAAAGAGCCACAGAAATGGATTTATTTATTATTTATAACGCAAAATTTATCGGAAAACTGATATTCATGATGATTGTCCCCGGACGTGCAAATCATGTTAACTTCGATCGTGTCTTGAAGCGTCTGCGCGAGCCTGACGTGATAGTTGTATGTAAAAATATAACGAATTGAAATCTCTACAAATTCAAAGATATTATTTATCAAAAAAAAAAAAAAAAAAAGAAAAACTTATGCGGTGTATTTGTAAATAAAAATCGACTCAGCGATTAACTTCTCTTCAGAAACTTTGATTTTCGAATTAAATAACAGATTATAAGAATTATCTAAAGAATTATCTATAAACATGGAATGTATCTGAAATCTGCATAAACCGAGATAAATTTTGGATCGTGTCATGATGAAGAGAGACAGATGGATGTCACGCGGCGACTCGACACAAGGAACTCCACACACGCGCTTAGACAAATAATGACCAAATTTATTGCTCTCGGACTGGAAATCGATGAGGCCGCGACCACGTTGCGGAAGTACAGAGATTATTTATTGCCCGTGAGATAGCCCCCGTCTGAAAAGCAATGCCGGTTTTTTAGTCTTATCGATGTCGGCCGTATTAAAGAGAGGAGAACAAAGAAGAATGACGGAGTGTTTATAAATTTATCGGCAGTGACAGCGCGGGGAAATAGTTCGACGCGCAATTTATAAGAATGCTAAAGCATGCACCTTATTTATCATCAAAGCGTGCGATAAAGCCGCCACGTGTGTGCGCTTAATGATTTTGATATTATTAAAATCAATAACGTCGATGAATCGAGAAATTGTCACAAAATACAAGCACAATAGAGAGCAAAATAGAGAGAGAGAGAGAGTAAGAAATTAATTTTTATAACTTTAAATTTAAATATTTCACGACAAATTATGTATTGCAGATTTTGTAAATAAAAATGCTCAAAGAAACACTTGCGTGAAAATTATATTATGATAACTGATTTAGTTTCGATTTGGCCGATTTTACTTTGACAAAAAAATATCCTTTTTGAATGAAGACTATTAATAGCGCTAACAGTAAATTTTAGTGACAATTTGTTTAAAATTTGATACACGTGCATGCTTTGCGTGTGTTATGTGTGTGACACTTGTTGTTCTCATTTCGCGTGTCCTGTCGCCGCGATAAGTGCGTTATTCGTCCGTTAGCCAACATTCGCTGAGTTTTACGATGCGGTGCAGTGTTTTACGGTGCATCAGCAGCAAACGGAAAATCACGATTTGTCATTTTCAGTTTTGCTTTATGGTCCAGCGCTACCAATCGTTGCATGATTCGCCGACGTCGCGATAAATCTTTATCATAAAGCATGATGCTGCCTTGCTCGGAAATCGTAAAATATGTCGCAATAAAGATATCGAACAGTCCATATTAAATTTTTATATATATAAAATGTCTCGTATCTCAGGAAACGTAAAACTTCCTACGCTGTGAGATATCCTGTCGTGAAAGGATGATTAATACTTGTAATTTTTTCGCCATCACATTATGTGTGTAATGTGTGTGCCATCACGTTAAGCGGCTAATAAAATAAGGTGCCAAAAGTTAATTAATTATATATCGAGTTTAAATCAATATTTCCAGTAAATATAGCATATCTACATCAATATATTGCAACATCGAAAGAAGGCGTTAAAATTATTTGTTATTAAACTTTAAAATCCGATGCATTTAAATTGTCAGCTAATAAAGCTTCTTTAGATAAGATACCAAATCAATGTTAAATTCTTATTAATTTTGTACGTCAGGAAGCATGATTTCACGCGATAGAACGGACGTAGCATGCCTCTCCATCCGCTTGATGGTGAGTAGTTCTTTGCGCGAGAGTCTCGGAGGGTTGGAAACTGTCACAGAACGCGGCAAAGTGTCGAGGCCGAGTCGTAAGTAAAATGAATTTAACATTTGGCGTTTATACGCGGGCTGTAAACTATGCGTCGTGGGAACGAGCTCGACAAACTCGACGTCATAAGTTTAGGCGCGTCTTGCCTCGCGAATATGCCTAATATCTCGTGTACAAACGCGCGCATCCTGCCTTCTGTTACACATTACATTACGACGACAAGTCCAGTTGCCGGCAAGAAAATTATCGCTTACGTAATGGCGAGAAGCGGAATCACCGTCTCGAGAGAGATTACGCCGAGCTGCAGCCCGCCAAACTTTATCGGCGTTTTATATCAATGTGAATTTGATAGTTCACCGTGCAAAAATTACGACTGCTTGTACGAACTTGAAACTTTGAATTATTCACACATTGGCGGATTGCCAATTTCAAATACTTAAGAGATTTAAGCAGATATTAGGGAACTTATGTAGTCGGAATTAAACGGAGGATTTTGCGTGGAACTTTGATAATTTGATAATTGATGAGAGAAACTTACGAGCGATTAAATCACGACAAAAAAGCAAAGATGAATATCTTTCTCTCTCCGATAATGAGATTTTCTATGTAATTTTCTTTGGAGCGGAAAGATCCGAATGCAAATATCGCGATTGCTATCGTGAAAATCGTTATAGAAAAGACTACTAAGAATAATTATCTTGTAACATGATATTAGGGTAAAATAATGAATTGTTCTCTTTAGAAACAAGCAATTTATCTAATGTCGCGGATGTAATTAATCATTGACAACGCACGTTGAAATATCTGCGACACAATCTACGAGAGCGTCGAGATCGTTCCATTAACGGTGGTCACCACGGGTTATCCGCAATTCAGATATAATCGAGTAGAGCTAGTTTAACAAAATTTCACCCTCGAAGTCCGCGTCACAAAATTACATCTAAAAGTAAGCTCTAAATGAAATCAAACGACGTGTGGGACAAACGAATTTTTTATATATACTAGATTAAACGAATTTCATCCTTGTCTCCTAAATGTAACATTAATGCATTAAATTTTATTTGAATTAATCTTCTGGAAATGTCATTGACAATGAAAAATAATTCATAGACTGTTAGGGGTTTATGGACTGTTAAGAAATTTATGCGACAAACTAATTACGATCGAGCGAAGGTAACCACGCACTTTCTGATATTAGGAACAATTGACGCTGCTGGTTCGATGCACGGAAATGGCGTTTCGTAATAGTGCGAGGAAATCGCTCCATTAAGGATGATCACCTCAAGTTACCCATAATTTGGAAATAATTGAACAGGGCAAGATCGAATCTGACGATTTAAGCTGCGCGCCATCGGCATATTTCCGCACGCTAATCGATATCAGAGATGCCGCACAATTTACCGAGATTTTGTGCGCACAAAATAGTGTGGAAGTGCTCTCGATCTATTTTGCATAACAAAATAGCTAGAATTCATTCACGCTTTCGTCGAGGCGCATTAAATAAAAATCGACGAAATCGATCACTCGCAAAAAATGGCTTTTCTCCTATCTCGACGGATCTATCACGAAGATGTCTGATCTGGGCAAGAAATGTTTCGAAATTTTCAATGTGCTCTCGAAATAGCTGCAAAACAGTTGGGAACGTCACGACGGGGCGTGACCCGGTTCGCGACGAGAGTTCTCTTCCGGAGTGCTGGGTGTCCCTAACCCTTTGCTATTTTACTTGATCTCTTTCCTCACGCGGCACTCGATCTAGCTCACACATTATAGAAAACGGTGCGTGTGATACGTGTGTCGTACGTGTGTAACATGTAATGCTATCATATATATATATATATATATGCCTATGTTATGTATATAGATCCGAGCTGAAGCTACGAAGCGTGAGAACGGCTATCTATGGAGCATCGCTATTGTGTGTTGCACTCGTGAGTCTTGTGTCGGACAGAAGAAGCCGCGAGATGCCCGTCATGGGCGCGGGATGGGAGTTTCTCTGGTCACGGCTGGGACGAGGCTGGGAGGCGGGTCGAGTCGTTCGTGGCAGCGAGGGATTCCTGTTGGCGAACGGACAATGAAAGTGGCTCAATTTGGCGACATCGATAAAATGCCGAGGATCCCCCGCGGGGATCTCTAGATTCACACGCCAAGGGACGGCGAAGCCCGTAGAGATGGGATAATTCTCGGTAGTTTTCTGCGCTACCAATGGAAATTTGGCCGGTTTCGTTAAACGAGAACGGGACGCGCCTCGGTAATTGGTAATTGGACTGTAATTAAGTAGAGAGCCGCGCTTCCATCGCTGTGATTTCAATGGGGACCAATTCCAATTATTTATTTCAAAATATATATCGTATTAGAAAACTAGTACAAATATTCATAAAGGATATTTCTTTACATATATTTAAATTTAACAGGAGTCATTTTGCATATTTAATAAAGTTCAAGCAGTAGAACTAATGGAATATTAAATTAAGAAAAAAAATTCATTAATTTATTAATTTTTTAATCGCTTTATAATTCGCATTAGATAAAACGTGCCGTAGTGCGAGTAATCGTAAAAATAGCCAATTATTTTCATTAAAAAAAAAAAAAATCACATGCAAATTGACTTGTACAGATTTTTGTCATTTCAGAAAATTTGCACTGATAAATAATCAGGAATTTCTGAAGCTTTCACATCATATCGATGTCACCATTTCGTCTCATGGTAAACGAAAATTTTTGCAACAGACTTTCCAGAGATCATAATCGTGAAAACGAGATCATCTCCTTTGTCGACCGCACTTAATGTAGCCACGTTTCATGGTCCCTCGCCATCTTTCGCCACTTTTCGCTTCCGGTTTACCCGAGTAAAAGCGCGTGTAGCTCATTCGGAAGAATTTAAGGGATCGATAATAATCTTGGTGCTCTCGGTGTGTATTGAGCGTGTGTCGGTGTGTAAGTGGAGACAGTAGTGTACCTGGTTGCCGTCGTAGGTCCAGGATCCGAACTTCATGTCACAGTGTTGGTCGTCAAAGGGGAACCAAGTGATGTCTATCTTGCATGTGCTCTTGAAGATGCCCGGAGGGACGTACAGGCAACTGCCGTTATGCGTGACCACCACGTTTGTTTGGAACGTCCCGTCGAAACCCTCATCCGCACTAACGTTTCATATCATACTTCCATTAATTACCCTCGTCAGTCGTCAATCGTGATCGTTTCGCGGCCAGTTTAATCGCGCGTTCTCTTTAATCACCGCGTGATGGAGCGGGAACGGTCGTTGGTTCTTGTTGCTGACGGCAAGATCTCGCACGAAGGATATTGACAGACAGAGAACGCTTATGTCGGAGGCGAAGAGATGGATGGGAATATGTACTTGAGGAAATGGGGATTTCTCCAATTCCAATTACATTTACTTGTAACAGCGTAATATCCATTAGAAACGTTGCTAGACACGAAAAAATATAAGTGACTAGTAATTCAAGATTAAAGCACAATTAATATTGAATATGAAGATATATCGCTCGTTTCATAAACGTGGCGCTATTTTCCCACGTAATTTGACTTGTACTTTTGCCATTAATCTAAATCATATCATTCGGCCGTATCTTTCATCGCAATGTCGTGAATGGACAATAAAAGATGAGAATCACGAAGGTGAAGGAGAACGATAAAACGAGGCACTCGCGAATATTATTCATGAAAATGCAAACCATGTTTAGACCCGCTTTTACGAGAGACGCTCTTTAAGCGCGATCCGAGACTACGATCCAAGAAAGGGAAAGGATGAAAAGGGAAGAAAAAGAGGAAGGGGAAGGGTACTGAGTGTCGCTTGAGCCCATTCGTGTTAATCCCTTAAGAAGTAATTCGAAGCGACCACTTAAACAGGGTTAAAGGATAAAAACGGATATTCGTGCCGGTCCCGAGAACCTGTGCGTCCGAATTTTTATGACATATTTATCTAGTATTTATCTAGTAAAGCGGCTTATTAAATTTTCAAATATCACACGGTAAAATGGCAAGCGCGTTCCTATTTTTCCAGAAAAAGTGTTAATAAATGACAGAAGTATCCTTTGTGTTATCACGCATATTACACCCCCGGCAAAAATAAATCGAATATTAAATGATCTGCGAGACGACCTATAGAAATTGATATATCGATATATATTATGAAGACGTTCATAAACTGATGTTAGTAGAATCCACATTAATGCTTTCTCGGAGTCGTTATGAGAAGGTGGCATCGGTCGGTTTTTTTTTTTTTTTTTTTTTGTTAAAGCTTTCGAAGATATCATTCTCGCCAATCGAAAATCGATGCCGTCGTATCGTTAAAGCGCTCCCCTACTTTTACACGTTATCGCGGAATGGAGAACGAGGGGGATGAAAGAGATAGGAAGGGTGGCAGGAAAAAAAGGGGCACTTCGGTGATTTCTTTTGAAGAACGGAATTAATTAATTTCAGCAGAGAATTGAATTTTTCAGCACCGTTATATTATATCGTTATCTTGTAGCTCTTCGTACGTGATCTTGCCGCGCTTATTCGCGAGATATATTAAACGCGGTCCCGTGTCGGTTTTGTGTGTTTTGTCATGTTATGTCCCAGGCCGCGGGAGCGGAGCGACATTTTTCTTTCAATGTCGATTAACGCGCGTTTTAATTTTCGATCAATTCGAAAACCCCCCGACCGAACGTTCCCTCTAATGCACGTTTATTTCAGCGCGTCGTGGATAGCGGCATTGTCGTCGTTGTTGTGTGGCTAATGAAGACTAACGAGAAACGGGGGTTTCGCCCAAAAAAGTGTGTCCGACTAATTAATCTCGTTCGTGCACGACGGAACGAAACCGTGTTGCAGCGAGTATCCGGGCATTGGATTTTGTCGATCGTGTTCCTCTTTTATGGAAACTTCGTTATCCGTTGCCGCATTTGTCCCTGGTTGAGTGAGAAAATGTGCGCGCGCGCGCGCGAGATGCAGCATTACTACGAGCGTTTTGTGACCGTATTGCATAATGATCCGTTATTGTGTAAATATATGTCAATTAGCATGAAGAAAATAAGTATTCCACGGTTACAATAATTTATGGTCGTGAGAATCCGCGCACATGGTATCCGACATTATCAACGATCCGATTAGTGCAGCCCGTGATAACGACGAATGGAATTTAATGATCGAATTGTAAGAGACTAATTAACGATGTTAAGGCACGCATTAACATTAATATCGATTTTCGACCGACAAATAATTGCGGAATTGACAGATCGCTTTGGATATTGTTGATAGGATCAATCATATTCGAGTAATATAGGAGAGAGGAAGATAAGATGATGATTTTAAAGCTTGTCGATTTATTTTGATTCTCGTGGTGATGTAAAAATAATGATTAATATTATTTTTTATTAACTAAAGTCTTGTTAAAGTCTTGCTTAGTATTGAAAAATTTATAAATTAGAATTTTGTAAAATTTAAATTTTTTGAGGACCTGTTAATTTCGTTTTGCTCTCATGTGTGGGTAAGATGATAAAGATTAAAATTAACTTTTTAATAAAAAGAAATTTTTTTACAAATCTTTATATTATTTATATAATTTAATATAAAATTAAATTAAATTAAAGATAGAACAAAAATAATTATTTACGATTATATGTAATTTTTTTAAAATTTAGCTCAAAAATATTTTAGCAAATCGTCACCTTACCCTTTCCCCTATATGTAATTTCGCACAATTCTCCGGAACAATAAATTTTTTATTCTCATTTCGCTGAAAAATGATGCATGCATATGCTGTTTCCCGAATGGAATTTGATAAAGTACGGCACACGTAAGCACCGTACGTCAGCACGGTTCCATTATCACTGACGAGTAATACATTGTATCAAGGAAGTTGAGACACTCTTGATGTAACTTGACGTAATCCCGTGTAATGGAAGTTACAATTTAGCTTGACATCGCATTGCACTCGATACCGCGCCATCATAAACTTCCCGTGAACTTTCAAAAGTTTTCGTTAATACTCCCGACCCTATGACAACGCTGGCTGCAAAAGTTTCCGCTCGAAGAGAAACCAAGTACCTGAATGCCTAACGATTGCTCGACGTTAAACATTCACTCAGGATGCCTCAAAGGAAGGGTTAAGAATGTAAAAAAGTTCTGCGCATGCCGCAAACTGTCGTTACGCGAAATCTTTTTAGCGTTGTTGGTATACGTTTAGCAAAGTGTGAAACGTAGCGGAAGAGTATTCAACGTGAGTTAAGCACACGAAGTGTTCTATTTTATTACAAATTTCCCCAATTTCTGCAGTTAGCGGAAAAGAAATATGATGACTTTAACTTGCATTTCCCTTGATTTAGAATCTGTTTGATTAAACGCAACGACAAATGAGATAAAGTAAACTAGGAAGTAAGAAAGAAGACATTGCATATCGAGAATTTAAATGTTGTTCTCTCGCGGCAGCGCAGCATAAATGAGGCGGATTTTATTACACTCAAGATAGTTGCAGATAGGTGCGAGATAATCAGGATGCACATATCTTCGCGCGTTTATCTGGACGGCTTAACGCCGTCCAAAAAATCGACGGAAGAATAAGCGAGGAAGTCGCGCGAAGGAGAGACACGGACAAAAGGAAGGTCAGCTCTGTGTTTTAATCTCACCATTGCGATGTTACGGACGTAACTTGCGAAGGGCTTATGTACTTTATTCGGTTCTCTAAGCATCCCTGCCGAGGGAACGGTGAATGTTTGCACGAAAAGTCCGATCTTGAACCGCTCAATTTCCGAATAGAAAGAATGTCTGTGTAAATTGGACCTTCGAAATAACAATAGTGGTCGTGAGTGTGTGGGACGTACAAGAATCGTCGAATGTCGCTTTAACCTCAGGTACTAGGGGAGAGAAATTAGAAGAAAAATAATGGTTCTAATGGGAGATTTAAATTTACGCTTTTGATGAATTAAGGCTCGAGAGAGTGACAAATGACAAAATCTTGTTTTCCAAAGCTTTGAATGAACGCTGACAGAAATTTAAGTTAATCTTTCAATACCGAGATAGAATCTTATTGATCCTGCAATTTCTGTACTCTAAAAAAATAATTTGATTAATGAACAGTTATATTTGTAAATCATTACTTAAATATTTTATGATTCGTGTAGTTCTCTCGAAAGGTGGGAGGTTTAATTAATTAAAAATTAATTATCAATATAGTTAATGTTGAAATTAACGAAATTTAAAATATTAATTGAGGAAAAATTTACTCTAAGTTTATCATAAAATTGTGATGAATAAGATAACACTTTTCTGAAACACGTGTAGAATAACATCGTGTACTATTTTCGCGTTTACACAGTCATATATTAACGTTGAAAATAATCATGCCGTTACGTCTGCAACATCTTGAATGTGATTGACGATAGTCAAAGCGAGAGCAAGTAAATGAAGCGACAATTAATGTGGCCATTGGAAGAGTAAAGGGGAAGGATATTTGGCGATGGGCCTCGAAACGTGACGCGATGGGATTAAAGGACAATGTTTGTCGAGCCGTACTCGCTTCCTCTCGCTTTTGCGGTTTCTATCCTTTAGTTGCGCCGGCGTGCATCAAAGTCCACGCGCTGTCGCGTTCATGAATTCCAAGGGGCGTTTTCGTCGATTGTTCCACGTCGAACAAAGGCGAATCCCACCGCGATGCCTATTGTCGGGTTTTCGGGATAAATTCTGTTCTCGAGGATCGCTGACCCACCCCTTTACGTTTCGCCTCCGTTTGTCTCGTTCTCCCTCCGCGGTTTCTCGACCAGGCTGCACGTCGCTCTCGTGGACCGCGATATTCATGAGAGAAGAGCGGTGTGTTGTGAGCAACAAGTAAGTCTCGCGCCCTCTGGATATAGTAGGCGGCCACCCTCCTTTTGTTCCGCGAGTAACGAGCGTCCCGCCCCCTCTTCATTGTGCCGGAATGCTGGACGTATCTTTATACAATATCGTCGAGATGGGGGCTACTTAAAGCCGATTTAAGATGCGCGGTAATCCGCGGCGAACGAGATCGGCCGCGTCGCGAAAAAAGTGGGACGATAATTATCAGGGACAATTAAGAACTTGCCGCGCGAGAGTTCTTTCAGCACGCGCGGCCCCGGCTGCCTCGAGAGAAGAGACTTTATGATATACCCTACAGAGAGGATGGAAA